AATACCACTTGAAGCAAAGGAAAACTCCTTGACACAAGCGGGTCTCTGAATTAAATCACCGTTGCTCTGCTGACTGAGTTACAAGGCCAGACAGTGGTGGTTGTACCCAGTCTCATACCCTAGAATTAATTCTCTGCTTTCCAGCCTGTTATATAAGCGCAGCATTGCATTCGTAATTGAACCCTACCCTGAGGTTGCACTTTTGTGTTTTAACAGAAAATAGCATCGATGTTTTTTTCCAAAAACACTTTAAGACCTGAGGGCACATGTAAGTCAAATTTAGAACCAGCTAGAGCTTGATATGTTAGGAAAAATAAGGCCATGAAAAATAAAAGTTCATGTGAAAGGTAGGCTAGCTGGTAATCCTTAAATCCATGACAGTGCGGTGCTTTATATTCTTTATTTAACCGTGTATATGGATATTATGAAATTATTCATTTTGACGACTTTTAATAGATNCTTAAATCCATGACAGTGCGGTGCTTTATATTCTTTATTTAACCGTGTATATGGATATTATGAAATTATTCATTTTGACGACTTTTAATAGATATGTTTACCTTAACAGTGTTTTCATAGAGTTGTAAATGTTTAATCAATATGTTAGTGGATTTGTATTTTTTTATAACGGAGTTTAATTTAGTATATTTCTTTTTTACCAGAATTTTAGTATATTTGTATTTTTTAAACAAAGCTTTTTGTATTTATTTTTTAATCGATGTTATAGCAGACTGATTTGTATGTTTGTAAAACAGGTAAACGTGTTAACGCGAAAAAAATGAGCGAATTCAAGGTTGTCGGCGAAGACTGTTTTGTTTGTTATTACAAGAGTAGTGTAGGATGGTCCTATAACACGCTTATAATACGTCAAGTAAGTTCGTATTTTATTTTTATTTTTTAAGCCTGACAAAGCACAGCCGAAAAGCGCCTATATACAGGGTATACTCGTCGGAGTCCTAAAGCGGGAGACTTAAAAATCGCTAATTAGAATGTATATTCGTCGTTTTAAAAGTGTTAGCCCAGAAAATGTTGACTCCAAATGTCCACATGTATGTCAGTTTACATCTGGTGTTTGATTTAGGGGGTCTTATTTGATGCTAATTTGTTGTGACGCGGTTTAATAAATTGACGTCAGTTTTCCATGCGTCTGTCCTGTTATTGAACATTAATTTCGAAATAACGTTGTCAAAGTAGCTGTGGATCCACGAGACGGTTTTAACTTGTCCCCGCTGTTTAGCGAATTGAACACATTTAAACATTATGCATGAACTGAGGGTTGTTCAATATACACGAACTGACACGACTCGTATAGCCTGCGAGCAGGCTCACGTTGGAGCACAAACACGCGCAGCGTAGCCGCGAGCGTGAAATCGAGCGGCGAAGCCGCGAGACGACAGGTCTCTTTACTAAACTCCTTCCCACCGGAT